TATATACCATTCTGATACAATATTACTTTGTACACAACCCATCACAGCTGCACGTTTAGAAATTTTTTTTTGCAGAAGTCACCTCCCAAAAAGTGTCATTTTGGAAAAATCTAACTGCTCACTTTTACTCAGTACTTTTTCTTTTAATACTTAAGTAGATTTTGTGTCGGAAATTTACTTTTGAGATACTTTAAGACTTTTACTCAAGTAATATGTTTAGAGAAGACTAACTTTTACCAAAGTATTTTTATGATAAGATACTTGTACTTTTACTCAAGTATGACTTTGAGGTACTTATACAACACTGTTAAGAAATACTACAAACATCTGAGAGAAATGCTGAGTCGTTGCTTTAGGTTTTGGTCCCATAAAGACAGTTTGTACGTGCTGACGAGGCCTCCTACATGAAGTATTGAACCTCTGGTCTGACTCACTTCATCCACATCGCTGGCCCACTTCATGATGTGCTGAAAGGATCGCTCGCTCGTGATGTCATACACCAGGAAGATCCCCTGTGAAGACGTGGACAGGATTGAAACACAGGTACGGCTGACGTCAGTAAAACCGTCAACAATCAAGGTTTGACACTTTGCAGATCCTGCGATCAGCTCCACGTGAGGACGTCTTGTTGTGTGCCACASATAAGCAGATCTTAAACTCAGAGGGACACAGTTTTAAAGTCTCAGAGCAAGTCAAAACTAAATGTTGAATATCACTCGATGAAGCAGCATCAACAGTGGAGTCAGGAGACAGAAGTGAGAAGATCCAGTCAGGACCGTTCWGCAGACTGCACGCCGCTGCTACCTGGGCTTGTTTTTCATGGAGCTACTGAGAGAAGCTAGCTTGTCAACATACACAGTTAGCCAGTGCTGGCTCTAGTCATTTTGGTGCCCTAGGCGAGTTGAAGCGCAACCCCCACCCCCCACTGGTTTACTATGGTAAACTTAGATTTATTTGCTTTAAACACAAACACATCACACAACAAATTAAATGAATAAATAAATATAATTAAATCAAATGAAAAGGATAAACAAAAGACCCGCTTCACAATTTGTGCAAAGATTTAGAAGGTCCTCTCTTTTTGGAAGATATAAGTCTGATTTTACCTCATAAGGTCTTCGGCTGACAAACTCAGTCCTCACTGTGTCAGYATGATGTCAGCAGGATTAGTAGCAGGAGTAATTTATTTTTCCTGTAATACTTCATTATAGTTTTTAAGACAAAGCTAATTGAAAGGGGCGCTCAGCAGAGTTACAACCAGGGATTACAAATTTTTTCTTCTGCAGTTCGGCGCCCCCTCCAGCAGATGGCGCTCTAGGCGACCGCTTAGTTCACCTATGCCAAGAGTCAGTTCTGCAGTTAGCCGTCTCTGGCTTGTTTTGTGCAGTTTTTCACATTTTATCACCTGTTTCCACTATAAGACACTCGCTTTGATTTTTCTCCGTCACATTCAAAGAAATCCAGAGTTGGACTTTGCTGTTTTCTCCCAACTGTTGCTGTTGTTATTCAGCCGTCGATGCTGCGCAGCAGCATCGTAAGCTGCTCGCAGCTGAAAAACAAGATTTGTTTAATCAGTCCACATAGCTTCAAATAAATCAAACACTAAAACAAAGGATATTCTATCTATAATTTCACTTAGTTTTATAAATTTATTATTTCATTTTATTAGTTTTTATTCATGTCAGTTAATTAAAATGTTCTTTTAATTTCAGTTTTAGTTATTTAGTTAGTTTTAGTTAATTACATTAACCCTGGGATGGACCCTTGTTCACATCTTTTAATTCATTTGTAAATCAAACATTTCTGCGCAGCTAAATAGTGGTAAACCCCTCTATCAAACTAGACAGGAAGCTGGAGGGGGGCACCTGTTTGGATTTAAAGAGGCAGCCTCAAAACGAGTTGATCTGAGACACAGGTCAGAAAAGGGGCGGGGCTTGTGGAGTTGCAATAAGGAGGAATTCACTGCAGTTCCACTTCATATAGACCCAAGTGAAGGGTTTAAATGTGAAAAAGGAGGATTTAAGATCAGGAAACGTCTCCTTTAAAGACAAAAGGAAAACAGATTTTCAGAACATCAGGGTGACAGCACACGTAAATAAGACTCTTCTTTATTCTGTTTTTGTCTTTAACTGTAAACTGTGCAGTTTTTGAGTTGCAGCAGACGCCTGGTTACCTGTGCTCGTCTGTAGTACTGCTTGGTGATGGTTTGGTACCTCTCCTGGCCCGCTGTGTCCCTGCACACAAACACACAACTCATCCAACGTTCTGACACTAAAACATTACAACGATCTGAAAACTTTAATCTGCATCAAACCAAAGTCACGTCTTTCAACAGCTCTTTTCAGACCACGTTTACTTTTACAGCTGTAAATACGACGGTTGTTTTAGAGGGACAACTGTTTGAACCAATGAAAAGTCAGCTGAGGATTATTGGATTTGCTTGTTTGTTTTAGTTCCAACCTTACCATATCTGTATCCGTACTTTGATCCCATCTATTAGTAGGGTCTTCATTTTGAAGTCAACTCCTGCAGGAAAGAACATTTGTTTAGGAAATACAATAATATACAAGAGTTATGGAGATATTAGGTAGTGGTCCAAAGGTTCTGAGAGTCCTCCAGGATCTGTAAAGTCAACGTTTTACAGAAGTTCTCCCTCACAGACAGCCACACCGTCTCCTTCTAATCAGAGTGGGCTGTTAGGATCCATTTTCTGTATCCATCACATGAGATGAGAGGTGAAAGAGTCAGAGAATGAATGGGTTCTGCTGAAGTCCAATGAAACCTTAACTTCTGTCAATCATGTGGTGAACAAGTTGTGTAGAGTTCATATATTTGTAAATTTGATTCTGATGATCTGAGTGCCTCACCGTCCKTGAACCCACCAGAGATCATCCCCCACCTGGAAACTAAAATGATTGTGTGACTCCTCATTTCCTCCTCTTTTACCAGAGCTTCATCCAGCTCATTTTACTTTATTTCATCTGTTTCAAACTGGTCCAAACTAACACACATCACCAATCCAGCCTTTAGGGTTACCTTTCCCACCTGCTAAACTGAAAATATCAGACTCTAAAATACAGAAAAGCACATTTTGTAGTTAAAAAAGGCTTATTCATCAACTGTAACTGTGCTAAACAAATAAACTAAGGAAATGTTTGTGATAATTTATATTACAGTATATATTACCGTCTGTGTCAACGTGTTATGTAAGCATAGCGCTATGAAAATTAATTTCTCTCCACGTGATAATAAATTGAAAAACTCTGACAACTCTTTAAATGAGCTTCTAATACTACCCGCAATTACAAGACTCCACATCTACTAGGGGTGTAAGAAAATATCGATACACTGAAATATCGCGATATTTCATTTCCCGATACTGTATCAATATTCTAAAGCCCTGTATCGATTTTTAATTAAGGTTTAAAATGTCAACTTTCCTGCCAACCGTTCATTTTTATGTTGTAGTTCAGCCTCTGACCACTAGTTGGCAGCAGTGAGCCAGACATTTGGCTCCTCTACCTCTTGAGCACCAGAGAGTAAGGGTAGCATTAGCATTGTAAGTAAACATTAGCTTTTTTTTTCAGTTAGAGGTTTTTATTTAATAGAATTTTTGGACAAAAAAATTGCAATATATTGCCTTGCTTACAGTATCGCAATTTATCGGGATATATCGTATCGTGACCCCTCTGTTATGATATGTATCGTATCGCCAAATTCTTACCAATACACAGCCCTAACATCTACAGTAAAATATGAACATAAAATGTGGATAAGATAAAAGGAAAATAATAAAATGTAAAGACTTGCATTTGATTCTTGTGTTTCTCTTCCATCCATCTTCTCTGACTGATGAATTTAAGTCCATTAAACAAACCAGCCCTCAGGCTTCCACAGCCCAATCTAATCCCTGAGAAATCAATTAACTTTTCATCCCAGTTAACTTGACAGTCAGCACCCCTGTGTCACAGCTGGCATCACAGTCGACCTAAAAAATGCTCCACACATATTTGAGTCAGTTAAATTTTGTGCAGAATAATGAGGTTAAATCAAGAATTCAAGGATTTTAATTCTAAGTGAGTTCTACATGAGGAATGAAAGATACATACTAAGGTCACAGCTGTCAGAAAAACATAAATCAGGGGTAGACATAAGGATATGTTTCAGCTGGACAACCTGTTGACAAAACCTGGTTGTCCACAAAACATTTTGATTGTCCAAAAGAATCTCAAGTAATTTGTAATTTAACAAGTATATTGTTCTGTAGACGAAGTTTATTATATACAATTGTTCTCAGTCAGCCAGGTTGACAGGATCTGTGTGAATAAAACTTTTTCATTCTCTTCTTTGAAATAGAGTTCAACATTCATTCTGCTCACAGGTCAAACATTTTCCTTAAACAGGAGTATACTGTGTGCATGACCTTATTAAAAGTTACAGGTTCTGTTCAGATTTACCAAGTTTTTTCTTCCTTTCATTTTCACAATGACGAACACCTGCAGCAGAGAACTTTAATCAAGGTCTTTTTGCTTGGTTGTCCATCGGACAACCAGGAGACAGGATCTGTTGTCCGAAATGAAAATAGTTTGTCTCGGACAACTTAAACAATGTTTATGTCTACCCCTGCATAAATAAATAAAATAAAATAAGACATAAGAAGACAAAAATAAAAATTGTACATAATGTGTTACACATGGAGTTTTTTTTWAATTTATTTAACCTTTATTTATCAGGTAAACAGTTTGAGAACCACTTCTCATTTACAAACATGACCTGACATGATGCACTGAGTGCGTTGTAAAATACAAACCTACAGATTCAGKCAGAGTAAAGTCATTGAACATTTTAATTGTGATTAAAATGTTTAATCTATGCCCATGCAGCACTAAAATTAATCAGAGTTAATTCGATTAATTTCACAGCCCTAAAAGAAACAGATTATTCTCTAAAGTCTGTGTTGTTAGCAACGCTCTGTTTACATGCAGACGTTCCCCTTTGACATCACTTCCTGTTTCTTCAAATGCTAATATCTCAACTGTTCATCACAGCAGTGTAAAATTATTTTTACAATATGTTATCAGGCACTTTAAGGTTTTCCTTGTTTGTAAACTGAAAGCTTGGAACCATTTAATATTTGTGTTGGCAACAATTAGACGACTCATTCTGTCTTTTCAGCAGACGTCCAGAGGGATTTTCAGCATCAGCAGCCCTGCCTCGCTTTCTGCCCAATTACTGCAAACAATGTCAGAAAGTGAAGCGGCGGAGCTTCACAAAAACAAGCTTAGTGGGAAGAAATCACTCCATTATATGATGGCAGACAAAAACCAGACCGCTACAGAAGACGATACGAGGCTCTGCCAGGACGAGACAAAAAGGCGAAGCTACATCCGAAGCGCTCAGCCTGACGGGGACGTGTTCGTCACGTCTCAGCTCTAATTCTAACTGCAGATTTACTGCAGACTCAAATTAAACCTGTGGGACTGCAGCTCGCCTCTCTCTGCTGAGACRAGTGAATGCACCGGAGCATCGACGTTTTATTTTTGTGCAAAAAGAATTCCCTCAAAGTTTACATTGTTTAAGATAAACTCTGTTTCCAGTTTGTTTAATTGTTTCACTCTTTCATCTTCATCAGTTTTGTTGACATAAAATAATGGCTAGTTGTGTTAAATCCAACTGATTTATGTAAAATTAAACAAGAAATTAATCTGTTAGTCAGCCTTATATTAGTGAAGTAGTTGTTTTAATGTTTTACCATTTATAATTGTTGGTTTTTGGACTCTACTTCAGCACATTTTCAGCTATTTCTGCCAATAAGGTAACAAAATGTTCAGCTCATTTGGGACATTTTAGCTACAACAAGCTTTTGTTACTTTTATACTTTGTTAATTATTCATCTTTATTTACATTTTGCCACAGAACTGCACTAAGATCTCTTCAAATCTTTTAAAGACTTTTGTTCTCTAAATCTGTTTCAGCACTGAGCTCTGTTTGTGTGCTTACTTTTTTATTAGTCTTTTTTTGCTTTTCCATGTCTTCTTAAGCATCGTTTTTTGTCTTTGTGTGTCTTTTTTGTATCATTACTTGTGCCTTTATGCAACCTTTGTGTATTTTATGTCTCTGTGTGTCCTTTTTTGTCATTTTTGCCACCTTGTGCATCTGTTTAATCTTTGTATATCTCTCTGTGACCTTTTATTCTTCTTTTGTCTCCTTGTGAGATTTTGTAAGTTTTTGTCTCCCTGTGCATCATATTAGTCATTTTATGTCACTAATCATCCTGTGTCCTTGTTTTTTATGGCTCCTCTGTAAGTTTTAACGTCTGTCTTTAGGTCCTTTTAAGAGTTTTTATGTTTTCTAACGTGTCCTTGTCATTTTTTCTCATTTGCATCCCTTTTGTTAACATTCATTGTGTTGTTTCATGTTTCCACGTGTTTGTTTTCTTTCTCAACGTGTCACTTCTTCAAATATATTTCAGCTGATGTTTTTCAGTAAATGTCAGGATTCACACACAGGGTTCCTACTGTTTAAGGAAAGTTAAATTTAAGACTTTATAATGCCAAGTGAAATTAAATCTAAGAACAATTTCATAATAAACACAAATGACAAAACAATAAAAACAGTCAGAAACTTATGAATCAAAGTATTTTTGGTTGAAGTATTTAAATCTTGCTAATAGACCAGTTGTTTTAATTTATATCTAACTATAACAGAAACGTTCAGTCAGTTTTAAATTAGTTTAATTTCAGGAAATCCTCTAAATCTGTAGTTTTAGGACCCAGTGTGTCTTAACCCAATTTACTGTAGATGAAACCTTAAAGTCTTTGTGACATTAATTTTTTTGTAAGAAATATGAATGGATTATTGGAAAGACATTATTAACAAAGTACAAAACAAATCTCACATTGTTCAGATGAACGGTTGTTGTGATATTTACATGTGAAGTAACAGGAAGTGATGTCAAAGGGGAACGTCTACATGTGAATATTTAAAAAATAAATGTTACCAATTATTTTAATATTTAAGATYAATTAAAACAATCCTTTTTACAACGTGTTCACATTTTAAGACCTCTGAAAATGTTATTTAAGACATTTTAAGGCTAATTAAGGCCTTATCTTTGGATCGATGAATTCACTGAGTTTTTAGAGTTTTTAAGGACCTGCAGGATCCCTGCACAGTATTAACGCTTTTTTTTTTTCTAGTTTTGTTTGGCCTTGTGAAGCAAAGTCAGAGTAAAGTATTGACTATTTTTAAACTCAAGGTTTGTTTGTCAGTCAGTGTTTTTTTAATTCTTTCAATTCTATATTAAATTGGATTAAATTCTCAGCCTTTATTATTTGTTGTTCCAACTGATTTTACACAAAGTAATGAGGACAAAGGGAGTGTGATGCACAAACCTCATCAATATAAATGTATAAAATCCCATTTTAATTAAAAATAAAGAGCCTGTGTTTCGTGTCGTGCCGTGTCTTACCGATGGTGGAGATGTGAGATGGGTGAAACTGGTTGTCCGTGAATCTGCACAACAAACATGTTTTTCCAACCCCAGAGTCTCCGAGGAGCAGGAGCCTGAAGAGCACATCGTACTGCTTGGCCATGGCGCTGTTGTGACGGCTTAATCAAGCCGGAGCCATCTAACTTTGTGATGAACGGCCGGTCTCCTCCACGCACCTGAGTCCCATGTCCGCCCACGAGCTCCACGCACGGCTGCGTGCGTGTTTTTGTTCCCTGGTGGCGACACAAAGGAACCCGGGATGCTCCAGCTTCCCAGGCAACCAGCCTCCCGATTCCAGCCAGTGGGTGGGGCGCTGGGCCAACTGGTCAAGTTAGATTCAAACAGAAAGCAGCACTTCCGGTGACGAGTTTCAAAATAAAATCATTAGGCTAGGACAGTTAGCATGTTTTGGGACTGTTCTTATACTCAGTTATTTTGGAAAGATACTTTTTTTTATTTATGAATGATAAGTTAGATATGTACCTACCATTTAATTCAAAAAATATATTATTTGGTTTTTAAGAAAGTTTTTTATTGTAAACTTAATTCTATTATTAGCTAAATTTCATATCCACAGTTGTACATTTTCTAAACAAAACCCCAATTTTACAGTTTTTATGCATATTTATCCTATTATATTGCCACCTTAAAATACTGCACCAATGCAAAAGCTTTAAAAAACTAATCAATTTGTAATCAATTTCACTGTTTTTATTTATTTTTTTAATCTACATGTTTCACATTTTAATGCCTATCTTAAGT